ATACTCAGAAAAATGTATAGAAAATCCATATGTTTTATATGCGTAAAATACTATTTCAATACAGTATATATATATATATATATATATATATATATATATATATATATATATATATATATATATATATATATATATATATATATATATATATATATATAAAACAAAATATGCACCAATATATCTAAAAACGACTGTGAAATGCATTCGTTGATATTTCAGAGTTACAAAAGAAAAATATTACATGAAAAAACTATTTAAAACTAAAATTTCAAATTATCGTCATTAAGTGAGATCTCAGAGTTGCTATTTAAAAAGCCATTTCATATAATGTATTTCAGCCTTTTTTTCAAGTGTATATCATATTTCTTCATTTAAATAAGACTTTAAATTTATTTTATTGTGAGTAAGGTTGTTTCTGATGTTCAATAAACCTTGCCATATGTCTGTAATATATTTAATTAGAAATTTAGAAGTAAATTAGTAAAAATAATAATAATCTAAATACTCTCTACTCTTAGACAAAAGTAATAATTAGTCTTATAAAATATTAATTTTTTTCTTTGCTTTAGTTTTCATAGATTCATTGAACATCAACTTTTGCATCTCTCAAACTAATCCGTTCTTCATATGAGCCTCTAATGATGAAACGTCTTGCCAGAATTATCCATTTGGCTATTCCTTGTCAATTCGTTATCGCCGCGTCGCATTTTTGTGTTCTTGTCCAGACTGCAGATTTCAACGCCAAACTAGATTTACTTCCTCTTTCCAGTTTCCATCATGCGAACCAGAAGACCCAGGTAGTTAGTGAAACGATGATGGCAGTCTAAGGAATCGCGGCATCCACTCAGGGGCATGTCCAACCTAGGGCCATTGGGTCCTGCAATTAAAGGCGTGGAAAAAGCATCACCTCTGTGTTTTAAGAGAAAGGCAATTGCCGAAACATAGATACATAAATAATACAGGGGGTCCTCGTTTACACTTTCCTCGAGTTACGATGTTTCCTTGTTACATTGCATCTCCCATATATTATTTTCCTTCTTTTTTTTATAAGTATTGGCCTGTATTAGTCTCCCAAGCACAGAGCTGAGTCTTCTGATGGCAGTGCTTTGAAGGAAAGGAAAGCCATCACCATGGAAGTGAGATTTAAGATAGTAAAATGCATACAAAAGGGAAAAACTTTACTATTGCATTAGAATAGGGGCTTATTTAGGTGTGTTCCGACTTACGCTGAATTCAGATTACATCACATTTCAGATATGGATCTCTGACGTATGTTAAAGACCCCCTGTATATAAAAGTGATTTACGTGGGGGAAAAAAAATTAACTTTGAAAAAAAAATATATACAGATATCTGACTTTCTGGAGATGAGACAAATGCTGAGAATATAAAACAAAAATAAATTAAAGTCACGGACTCTCATTTCTACTAAGGGCCAGGACAGTGCCTTAATGACAAGGGCTGTTTTTGGCAACTATGACCATTGCTCTGAGTGAATACTTTCTGACATCACACCGTAACGGGCCGCGAACCAGATGAATTTAAGTCGTGATCGTTACCACTCAGCCACGATGGCCACTAAACTATAAAAATTAAAATATGAAAAATCATTTGTCTAAGTTTTTAAAGAGACCAATGCTGTCAACGTATAAAAAATAAAGAAAATGGATAAACGCTGTGACACTTAAATATGACCAATTTCGAGGCAGAATCAATAGCTAAGCAAGAATAATGCTAAACTTCCGTTTTTACCAAAAATAATAAACCAGAAATTAGAATTAATGGAAGCAAGTCATTGTGTGAACATGCAAGTAAATAATGCAGTCACTCAGGAAGGACTGACATAACTATATGAATTAATATGACTGCACATGTGTACGCCTTCTGCATATATACAATACTGGTTTACAGAGATTTAGAGAAAATATACAACTATGAATGCTAGACTGACAGCGAACAAGAGATAGTCGATGCTTTTACTGTTTCTTTCCATCCTCGGTAAGTAATACATGAAACTAATACATATATTTGTCTCATTACCAAGTAGCAAAATTTTAGTCACCGTGGCTCAAGCGGTAGAGTCCGCGACTCTGAGTCGTCAGGTCCGGGTTCGCTCCCCGTCACGGTTTGAGGTTAGTAAGGGCATGCACTCAGAGTAGCGATTACATCTGCCAAAACGAATCCTTCGCAAGAAGGCAACCGTCCTAGCCCTTAGTAGAAAAGGGAGTTCGTGACGTAAAACCGAATTCATCCAATCACTAGCCTCTTAGAACTTGGTCTTTGGTTTTGGACCAGAGTTTTACAGACGGATACCATGCCCATCTTCGTTTATCCAGAGTTAGGACCGGTACCAAGTTCAGCTGGATTGATTCTTTCCAGTGGCTGGAATGACAAGTTGCTCAAAAGACAAACGCATATACATGAAAACTCACCGTCAATAATCCTAATGTCGTGGATTTCTGGAAGTGTTTGTTGAAGGAGAGTCACAAGTTCGGGATTTAAATCGTTTAGGTAATCCCCTCGGGATTTAACTAACTTGCTTACGTCGGCGCCTCCTGGAACAATGATAAATAAATAAATAAATAAAATAAATAAATAAAATAAATAAATAAATAAATAAATCCCTGATTTCCGCAGGCAGGAATATGGGATTTACAGGCCCATTACGAGTATATAGATACACATTTCAGTATCGAATAATTTCTGTTTTACATATTAACCAAGTTCCGAAATGTAGGTAAATTAGTATTTATGTATAAAACATTTATTCATATCCATTGGCTACTATTAAGGCATTTTCTATAGATAATACTTCTTTTTGGACTTCATACTAAGGAAGATAGATGTCGCAGAAATGAGAATGCTGAGGTGGATGTGTGGGGTGATGATGGAGGACAGGATACGAAATGACCGGATCAGAGGTACAGTGAAGGTGGTGGAGGCGTCGGCGAAAGCGCAGGAGAGGAGATTACAGTGGTTCGGTCATGTGAAGAGGAGAGAAGAAGACTACGTGGGTGTGAGAGTGATGGAGATGGACATGGAGGGCAGACGTAGACGAGGAAGACCTAAACTACGGTGAAAGGACCGAATGAAGGAGGATCTCAGAGAGAGACAGCTGTGGGAGGAGCAAGTGATGGACCGGAACCAGTGGAGACGACTAGTGAAGAGATGCGACCCCATATGAAAATGGGAACGCAAATAGAGGAAGAAGAAGAAGAAGACTATGTAATGACAAAAATAAATGTCTAAGTATTGTCTTTACTGTGATACTACAGCTGAAAAGGGTCTTTTGGACTCAAATAGGACTGTCCAGGACAGTCTGGTAAGTCTTCTTCTATGCGTATACATGCAACACACAATATTCTTGGATATTCGTTACACACTCTTATTATCCCTTCACGTCTGACAAGTCATAAAACTCCCCATCTCTGTTCTCTATGTTTTCTTCATGTATAGGCCCGATGAGGGCAAATTTATGTATTTTTCTTTGGCCGTTTTGGTGTCCAGTTATAAAAAAAAAATTTTCATAAGGCCTTTTTGAGTTTTAAAGCTTTATTTCTAGAAAACATTACCAGAAACTAAACTAAGACATTTATAGTGCCTTAATGTTACAATGAAGTCTATTCATTAATTACTCTACAATTTTTCACCATCGAACAAGAAATTTTTTTTTTACCTGTATCATTACAGGTGATACTAACAACCTATTTATATGACAGTTGAATTGTAAATCACAAGCAAATTTAACTCACCACTAAGCACTCCAGCGTGTGATGGTACTCCAGCAAACGCTATCACCATCCCCACTCATCATCATATAAACGACACTCACCATCGTCTGTGGTAAATTAAAGATATAATATTAAATACAATGTAGTGATAAATGTACATGACTTATGTAGAGGTATATGCATGAATATATCGTGTACATGAAGTACTTGCATGTAAAAGCAATATTTTTCCGGTTTTACGTCACGGACTCCCTTTTCTACCAAGGGCTAGGACGGTTGCCTTCTTACGAAGGACTTGTTTTGGCAGATGTAATCGTTACCCTGAGTGCATGCCTTTGCTAACCTCAGACCGTGACGGGGCGCGAACCCTCGACCTAACGCCTCAGAGTCGCGGACGCTACCGCTTGAGCCACGATGACTGCAAGTAAAAGCAATATTCATATTTTTAATAAAGGGTTCTCCATATTCCCATCAACCAAAATTTCCTTTCCATCGTCTTTACCAAGGGGAGTAAGTACCTCATAAAAACCGTCGGAGCATGCCAACGGGCCCACATGGTCCCCCTTCCCCCATCTTTTCTGGGCTTTGAAAGTTTAATATCAGGCATAACGAGTTTTTAACAACCTGTCATAGTCAACTACCTTAACTGATTATGAATTTATCTACACTGAATTGGTGAAAAACAAAGCTCGGGGGGAAGAGAGGAAGAAGAAGAAGAAGAAGAAGAGAAGAAGGAGGAGGAGGGAGGAGGGAGGAGGAGGAGGGAGGAGAAGTAAAATAAGAATGTACAATCACGATTCATATACTAGTCTCTCAGAGAATACTTGAAGAATTTCATTACGTGGGTTTTTTATACAAATCCTCGAGAGAGAGAGAGAGAGAGAGAGAGAGAGAGAGAGAGAGAGAGAGAGAGAGAGAGAGAGAGAGAGAGAGAGGAGAGTCAATCCCCGTTCCCTTTTTTTACCTACTTAACAACTGTAGACTTTTAGTCTTATCCGAATGACGACGAAGAAAGTAGACTGTTACGGTATAAAAATATCTCGAAGGATTTCTAAGTTTTACTTTATTATTATTATTATTATTATTATTATTATTATTATTATTAGTGGTAGTAGTAGTAGTAATACATCTATGAAGCAGGATATTCAGAAGCTAGACTTTATCACATCAAAAAAAATTATCTTATCGTTTGCAGTATCAACATCCTGAATATGTTTCACATTCTGCTGAAAATAATATTTCAACACAGTACTTAAGATGCCTTGCTTCCGCTGTGGCAGAGTGGTAACGCTCGCAACTTAGATTCGTCAGGTCGTCGGTTCGAGGCCCACCATATTCTGAGGTTAGAAATGGCATTTACTCAGGGTAACGGTCGCGTTGCCAAAACCAATGTCCTTTGCAAGAAGGCACCGTCCTAGCCCTTAATAGAAAAGGAAGTCCCTGACGTAAAACCGACCATACTACTTAAAATGCCTTGATTATATGTGCCTTGCCTTTGCAGCCCTAACCATTAGGCATCAACTGAAGAAAACGCACCTCGAAACTACCAAGAAATGGGGATATGTCTGTTGTTACAATACTAAGATAGGATAGATCAGACTGTTCCGGTTTTACGTCACGGACAAATTTTTCTACCAAGGGCTAGGACGGTTGCTTTCTTGCGAAGGACTTGTTCTGGCAGGTGTAATCATTACCCTGAGTGCATCCCCTTGCTAACCTCAGACCGTGACGAGGCGCGAACCCTCGACCTGACGCCTCAGAGTCGCGGACGCTACAGCTTGAGCCACGGTGACTACAGGATAGATCAGACTAGATTAGCAAAACAGGAGAAAGTGCATTAACGTTAGCCAGAGATGTGTAATCTACGATTGATCACCAGTTTCCTTTGAAATGTATGTTTTACTGATGTCGGTACTCAATCTAGAAAATAAGGGAGCATACCAGCTTAACTCGAAGCCAGTCTCAAGCCCGGATAAATAGAGAGGGTTTGTTAGGAAGGACAGCTAGTCGTAAAAGAAGTCAAAATTAAAGACTAGCTTCAATAATAATAATAGTAATAATAATAATAATAATAATAATAATAATAATAATAATAATTATTATTATTATTATTATAATAAGAATAAGAATAATAATAATAAGAAGAAGAAGTAGAAGATCAATATGGAATCTGCGGAATAATTGTATATTATTTGTTACTCTGTATGCTACACAGGTCTTATCTATTTCAGTGCCAGATAAATGAGCAATTCATTTGGCTTAAATAGAGTTGTTACTACTACTACTACTACTACTACTACTACTACTAATAATAATAATAATAATAATAATAATAATCTTTTCCTGCAGCCAAATGTTACTTTCATGTAGGGTCACTTTTTTATAACCATTAGCAATTATATGAGTAATCATCATCTTTGTCAAAATTCCATCCAAACTTTAAACCATGAGATATTATAGTTCAGCAAACATATAGAGAAAAATAAATGGCTCTAGAAAACACTCATGATTAACATATTATTAATACACAATTATGAATGTTTTCAGAAGTATGGAGAAAATGCGATTCTATCAAATCACAGATAAAGTTTCACAGAAAAGTGTAAAAAAATAGTATTATATTAATATTCTTAGTTTTAGCATTTAACTTTTTTTTTTTCTAAATACAATTGGAGAAAATTGGATATATCAACTCGCCGCAATCGAAAAAAAAAAATACGATAATAGAAAAAAAATCCATTTTAAGTTTAATATTTAAAAAAATCTTTCTTATTCCAAGAAGTCTACACATCAGATAACTTTAAGGACAATATCCAATAATTAATAGTACATTTTACTTCGCCTTATTCAAACCCGATTATGACCCATCACCCATTTTTACGCCTAATGATAAATATAAAACATTCATAAACATTTCTGGAAAAAAAAATATAAATTTTCTTCCTAGTTGCAAATACAGCTAATTTGAATACACGGCCATATTTATGACATTTAAAGTCCTAATCTTAAAAAAATGAAGGAAATAGTGGTTATGTTATTAGAATTATTTTAAAAGTCCATCGTCCAAATTCATAATACCAAAACGAATCAATCATTCATACTTTTCACCACTTGTAATTAGAATAATATCAAAATGTAAAAGTAACATTTCATGTCATACTCCATAAACCAAATAGTTACTAATCATGAAATTTATAAAGCACATTTTCTCCCACTTACCCACAATATCCCTTCAAACGTAAATTCAAAAGAATAGAAAATTTCGCGTTTCATACCTGAACGAAGTGAAGGGAAGAAGATATCTATAATGGGAAGTAACGGAGGATACTGGCACTCCTTCGGCAGTAGGTGCCAACCTAAGATAAGGAGAAGAGTGACTGATGGAAGATATTAACCCACTACAGTCCACCGCTCTACCAACTGAGCTATCGAAGGCGATGGAAGATATTACGTTGTACGATGCTTTTATACTTTCCAGTCTTCGAATGATGAAGATGTATGATAATGTGTTTATTTTTGGACGCTACATAGTGATTTCGGGTTTGGGAATGGTGATGTATATGTAATAATACTGTCGTTATACTGTCAAGTATTGTGGATACAGCATTAACCTCCTAAAAACTCCTACGAAAGAAAGAATAATTGATAAAAGTATTTTTTCATTGCAGCTACCAATGGAATACTTATTCCACGTGGCACGACTTGGTACACGTGAGAACGCTCTTCCTCTCCTCCATTTGCGAGACAATACCAAAATAAAAGTCTTCGGTAACTTAAGTTTATTAAGTTCTGCCTCCAGATAGATATATGCGCATGATTACATTGGGATAAAAGTCAATCAAGAAATCTTATTTGGCCCAGATGCATTGCTGATGAGCCCCGGTCACTTTGAAGAGTGGGAAACCAAATGGAATTAGGGAAGTTACTGGAATTAGGGAAGGTTCGCGCCCCGCCACGGACTGAGGTTAGTAAGGGCATGCACTCAGGGTAACGATTACATCTGCCAAAACAAATCCTTCGTAAAAAGGCAACCGTCCTAGCCCTTAGTAGAAAATGGAGTTCGTGACGTAAGACCGAATCCATTCACTGGAATAATAGGAGGTGAATTTAAGAAACCAGGTAAAACAGCGACCCCACATGAAAATGGGAGTTAAGATGCTGGAAGAGAAGACTGGAGTAATGGTGATTTTCAACGCACGTTTGCAAACTGCCAGAAATCATAGACCTCTGAAAATTCATTCATTTTCTATTCCATCTAATATCTTTTGTAATGGTTTAAAATATTAAAAAAAAAAGTTTAAAATATGTTTGCATTATAGAGCTCACAACACTTTTTTTCTACTTGAAGTAAAAAATGTTCTGTAAAGATTCATAAGAACAATTATTTCATATCCTTTCAATGGAAGGAACCACAATACAATTACATTCTTTTTCCTAAAGATTCTCTCTGGCTCTCTCTCTCTATCCCCTGCGGTGATGAACATTAAGTCAGCATCTTCGAAAAGATTTCTGTAATCGAATCAACTGGGAATATGGTTTTGTCTTAATATCTCTTGGCATCACCTCCCAGTGGAACGAGGGATATAACACAATTTTATATCAAAGACGGGCCCTTCCCTGTAAACAAATTATATATATTATTATAGAAAACAAAGACGCTGTGTTCACATGTTTTTTTTTGTCCTGTTATTTCTTTAATTCATTTTTTTAGCTATAAGACTGGCATTATTGCCAATATGAAACTTAACCTCGTAGTCACCGTGGCTCAAACGGTAGCGTCCGCAACTCTAAGGCGTCAGGTCGAGGGTTCGCGCCCCGTCAAGGTCTGAGGTTAGCAAGGGCATGCACTCAGGTTAACGATTACATCTGCCAAAACAAGTTCTTCGCAAGAAGGCAACCGTCCTAGCCCTTGGTTGAAAAGGGAATCCGTGACGTAAAACCGGAACAACAACAATAAGACTGGCATTATTGCCAATATTGAAACTTAACTTCGTACATGTTGCTGTTCCACCATCAAGTCCACATATTATTGGTGAACGTACTAAAACTCTCAAGGCTACAACTACCACCACATGGAAGGCGCCATTATCATTTAATTTTTATCAAGATGTTCTGGTAAAGAGACGTTGTACGAATCACCCCAAGAAGTTAACTTGGTAGGGTTAGAAAAATAAAAAAATATAGATTATTTTTATTCAAATGGATATATATTTTATCATGTAGTAGGTTGGCTCATGGCGCCAGCCGGCGGTTGCTACAGCTGAAGGGTCTTTTGGACTTAAATGGGACTGTCCAGGACAGTTCGATGTTAAGACTTCCTTCAGTTACGGTTTTTTTTTTCTATGCCTGCACAATACCGAATATTCTTGGATATTCGTTACATATATCCTATTATCCCTTCACATCTGACAAGTCACAGCACCCCTAATCTCTACTTCTCTTTTTTTTTTCTTTGTGCTCATGCCCAATGAGGGCAGTTTTATTTTTTATATTTTTTTTTTTTGCCCGTCCTGAAATCACAATCGTATAGAAAAAAAAATATTTTTTTTTACTCCACCGACCACAATACTCCCCCACAAAAGGAAGCAGGATAACATTTAGTAACTACAACTGGTCTTATGGTACATACAGTTGTCCCTCATCTTATATGGTTTTAATTACTCGAGTTTTGAGTATACATGGTTGAAAAACCTTAAAAAAAAAAAAGTAGAATTTTTGAAGTTTTCCCTCAAAATAAATCAGTATAGCCAGTATTTATGAAAGAAAAAACAATAGGAACATTTCTCATGAACATTAACAAAAAATATTCCATTGCGAAATCCGACAGTACAACATAAGTAATCATGTATGTATTGTAAAAATTTTCATCCTCTATAAAAAAAAAGAAAACTAATAATGAAAGTTTATAGACTTTATGATTTTCTAGTGACTTATCTTCGCCGGTTTTGATGTACTACAGTAATAGGTTAAGTTGGGTAGAATTAGTTATGTTGCTTCACCCAGTTTGGAAATGTGTTTTGGTAAAAGATATTTCGTCAATTGTCGACCCATTAGGGGGTGATAAAGTAAACAATAAAAAAAAAAAACACTACGAGAGAAACTACAAATATACCGACAAATTTCGCATCTATCGAAAAAGTGATACACATGTGTCTACTAATGAGCTTAAGCTGTTTACTGGGAAGGTTACCGCTGTGACTGGACACCACAGTGGGGGGTTGGGGCTTGCAACGGCTGACGCCCGCCAGAGCAGGGGCAATGCCTCTGATAGGAGGGCAAAAACCGCAAACTTGAACTTTAAATTTAATGATTAGCGTTAGTTTAAAAAAAAAATTACTA